ATGTTGAATGATGCCATATATTTTTAGTTTTACAATGTCACCCCCACTGGACAGAAAGGCCCCCATTCAACAAACGCAAAGTGGCCCACAGGCCACCAGTTCATAATCACAGTTGTAGCATATTTTGCAGCTCAGAACACATTTTATTAGTGTTTTTTGATTGTAAAGGTTGCAGACCCCGGACTAGGCATTAACTTGTGCAAACTGATGCTGTTCAAAGAGCCATCTGTAACAGGTAACATATCAATTATTCATATCTTACTAGATTCTACTTTTAACGTATCAGTTGATAGTGCAGGTTGATGTTCCATATTCCTTTTTTGCACACATCCAGAGAATATAGGAAGACCTGGTCTGACCTTTCTCCACACTTTATTGTAAAAACATACACTTCACAGCAGGAGCTCCTCAGTGCAACGTTTTCTCACAGCTAAAATTTCTCCCGTGTGACACCCTGGATGGAGCGCAGGAGAACTGATTCCACAAATACACTGCTGAAACTCTTTTGTTTACATCACATCTAGAATAGAAGTTGAGGCTCCCTACTGATCAATAATAATGACAGTTTCTGTGTTGGTTTCTATACCACACATACACATGGCTATCCACATTATTGAAAAGCRTGAAGCAGTAATCACGTCAGCTTGCAAACTCACTGACTAGGAATCCTTCTGTTCCACAGTGTCTTCTACATTTACAAAGTTTCATTTAGAGATTTTCTGAACAAATTAGCCCTAAAACTGTATAATCTTACATGCCGCTCCTTTAGACATTGTGTAGAAAATTTCAGGGCTTTGGAGCAAACTGATAATTACCCACTCTCCATACCCTCTTTTATCTTRCATAGAATGACAAGAGGCTGGAGTCTAGCTGAAAGGAAGGCTACACCCTGGACAGGTCGCTAGACCATCACAGGACGACAGATACAAACACTCGCACTCGACCAGTACATAATAAGCAATTAAACTTAACCTCCAAGCTGGGAGGGAACAGTGCTGTCCACTGCACTACAAAGCCTCCCCATTAAATCCTGCAGAAAAAAACAAATAAGCTTGCTAGAGAACAAAGCAAACCATTCAAGAACTAAAGAGCCTAATTATTCCTTCAGGAATTAAAAAACAATTTAAAAACTTGCGTTCTTTCAAACTAACAAAATCGCACTCCACTTTTATCTGCTWACATATTTCCATTTTTGCGACTTCCTGTCATGATCCAGGGTTAGACAAGGAAATAATCCAAACACAGAGCTACGTAGAAAGCAGGCAATCTGCAATAAAAGAAAAGATATTTAAATTTGTTTTAATAAAAACAGAAGAAAGGTTGGTGGCGAGACCAACAAAATAAAAAAAAATGATTAACAAATATTTCCAAGACTATTGCAGCATTTCATTTAAATAGGAAGTTGGACGTCTGGTCTGGAAACACCTTTATTGTGTTCTGACTGGAAAACAGGTCCACATTCTGTGCATTCAAGCATAAAAGCAACATGTTTCGCTAYGGTCCTGTTTACTTGTGAAGGCATCAATGTGAAAAGAATAGGTGCTAAAGCTGCAGTAKGGGGTTGTGAGAAAACTGTGGACTTAGCCTGAAAATTTAAAYCAGCTCACCTTACAAAAATAAGACAAAGCTACTGGACTTCTGTTCTGTAGCTGCAGATATGTGGAATTACAAGGTTTAAACTGCACAAGGTTGGTATCAATATTATAAATACTTCGTTTGATCTGCTCACCTGCACATCGCTGACATAAAAGTCAGATGAAATTCTGAGCAGCATGACAAACATGTGAATTAGTACTGGATTTGAAAAAATAAATGTCGTGAAAAAATCCAAAATGGGTCTCATTTGCCTGYAGAGTGAGCGTAGCTTTGTAAACTGGCCGTGAACACTCAGTTGAAGAACACGTTCTGTGCAAACATAAGCTGTGACTTTAGCATCATTTTGTCTTTGTTTTGGAGTATGTAAAGGTGAAACAGACAGAGGGGATGTAGCTTGGAACTTTTTTTCCAAACATTAGACTCTAGTTCATGTTTTAGTCTGAAGTTAGACTTTCTCCACATTTTCCTTTGGCTAACAGTAAATTTCTGTTTACTGCGTGCTCATTATTGTTGTGGGCCACAGGTCTCATCAGAGGATTCTGCCTCCTTGTAAATTAATCCTCTGTTATTGCCACTTCACATCAGCAAGTCTGTGAAAATGAAATCTGCCTGGCGAATCCATGAGAAAAGTGAAAGTAATTCTTCAGGAAATTATATATATATATAAATTATTCCATGGGATAAAAAAATGAACTAGAACAGACATTGATGTTTGCRGACGTTGGCTCCAAAATGCAAATTTTCACATTACATGATCAGATTAGATTCCATATATTTGGAGCTATTTTTAATTCATGAACCACTTTCAGCGAGATTATCTACAGACCAGCAGTCATGCTCGAAGTAATTGTGGACCTGTGGATGCTGTAAACCAGTTTTTCCTGGGGAACCTTGAATAGCTTGCAGGTGCTGTTGCTCTGTATGGCCAAACTGCCAGAGAAATTCATGAATGTCAAACCTGAGGAAAGTGCTCCATTATTCAGGCTGAAATTGCATTACTCACCTTGATGCCTTCCCCTCTTTGGTCCCACGGTAGCTGCAGAGTTGTCGCTCCTGATGGCCTCTTAAAGGCCTCACTGTCAGGACCGGCCGCTTTAATGAACACTGCTGCGCCTGCTGCTTCTCCACTGG